TGTGGTAAAGTTTTTCTCCCAATCTGTAGGCTCTCTCCTCACATTATTGATTGTTTCCTTTGCTGAGAAGAAGCTTTTTAATTTGAATTCATCCCATTTGTTGATTCTTGATTTTACTTCTTGTGCTTTAGGAGTCTTGTTAAGGAAGTCAGATCCTAGGCTGACATGGTGAAAATTTAGGCCTACTTTTTCTTCTATTAGGTGCAGGGTCTCTGTTCTAGTGCCTAAACCTTTGATCCACTTTGAGTTGATTTTTGTGCAGGGTGGGAGGATAGAGGTTTAATTTCATTTTGCTACATATGGATTTCCAGTTTTGCCAGCACCATTTGTAGAATAGGCTATCTTTTCTCCAGTAAATGTTTTTGACACCTTTGTCTAGTATGACATAACTGTATTTATGTGGATTTGTCTCTGTGTCCTCTATTCTGTACCATTGGTCTACAAGTCTATTTTGGTGTCAATACCATGCCACTTTTGTTACTATCACTCTGTAGTATAGTTTAAGTTCTGGTATTGTGATGCCTTCTGCTTCATTTTTTTTCTAAGGATTGCTTTGGCTATTCTGGGTCTCTTATTTTTTCCAAATAAATTTTATGATTGCCTTTTCTATTTCTATGAACAATGTCCTTGAGATTTAATAGGAATTGCATTAAATCTGTATAATGCTTTTGGTAGTATTGCCATTTTGACAATATTAATTCTGCCTATCCAGGAGCAGGAGACTTTCCATCTTCTGAGGAAAGACTTTCCATCTTCCATCTTTCTTCAATTTCTTTATTTAGTGTTCTGTAGTTTTCACCCCTTTTGTTAGATTGATTCCCAAGTATTTTATTTTTTTTTGAGGCTATTGCAATGGGGTAGTTTTCCTAATTTCTCTTTCAGTGGATTTAATGCTGATGTATAGGAATGTGCTTGATTTTATGGGTGTTGAGCATTCTTAATTATACAAAAGTGTTCAAGTTACTTTTAGTTTATCAGACCTCTACAAATTACAGAAAGTGCCAGAGGACACGTTAAAATGCTGCTGTACAAGTCAAATTGCAGAACAAGCCAGAAATACCTCATAATCAAGATATAATATTTAAAAAGTAATATCAGTTATTGTTTATATAAGCTTATGACACT